ATAAAGAGATAGTGACAGGGAAAACGGTGGTGTTCCAAAAACTTCAATCTTGCTCACCATTTTCTCACGTCGATAAATATAATGAAATCAGCTGTCGGGCTTTGTCATTGCATTCAATCTAAGTATATCACTAAAGAGTTTATGCATATTGCTAAGAAAAAAAAAAAATCTTCCATGCCTATCCCTAGAAATTGAAGAATATAATTCAGAGTACATAAGTACATAGCTATTTATTTTCCAAAGCATAAATTTAAAGAAACAAAACAGAAAGACTTAGGTAAAGTTGCTGAATCTTAAAAGTAAAAAAAGCGTTTCGAGAACATGGCAATTAGTACGCTCTTCAGCATGATAAAGACCTTGTTTCTAATTCCTTATTTTGGCTTCACATCCGTCCACAACGAAGTAAATTCCAAGACTATAAGGTAAACAAATTTCCTCGTAACCGCAGTTGTTGTTGTTCCAGCCTGAGCAATGATAAATAGAGTATTGGTTCGGTCGCAATGAAGTTAGATCCTCCAAAACAATTCATCAGACTTTGTATATATCCTCATAAAATAGTTTCATCAATAGTTTCATCAGTTAATTTGTGATTATTAACATCTTCACTAGTTTGACCTCCAAAACAATTCACTTACATTTTACTTATATCCTCAGTCATTTCACAATAGTTACATCAGTTGAAGGGACTGTCCCTGGCGATTTTGGGTCGGAGTGGTCGAAAATGAGTTATGGTCAGTTTCATATTCGTAATTAAGAGTAGAATCACCCACGTGAATATGAACTTTGGCGGCGAAGAATTTGGACAGCGCGCGAGGCCACAACACCAAGTCCCACTGCCGCTGTCAGCGATTTTCACCCTTCCGCACTCTCGCTTCAGAGGAGCTAATATGATGCATTATATTTTGACATTACCTATTGAAATGGATCACAGGAAGATAAAAGTGTCTTATAACAGTTTTATACCAAAATGAAAGATTTATGTTATGAAAGACGAAGAAAAATAAAAATAATCATAATTATGCGACTTTTCAAATTTCTTTCCCATAAAATATAGTAGATATGATTCGATGTTGACAAATTCATCATAAAAGTATGTTTAGGGTTCGGTGATAATACATGAGCAGTTACAAGTCTGTATTTCCAAAAATAAACGCAACGAATAGATATTCACACGGACTGGGGGCCCGTGCGCGTTCAAGGCCGTCTCACAGGGACCCACGCGACAATACTGCAAGCGACGCCACCGCTTTAGACTTTTCTGATTGCAATAGTTTTACGTATGCGCTTTCATTTGAAACTAATTAATCGATTAAACATCATTATGTCAGTGTAAATCCATTTACGAGAAAAAATAAATGTAAAAAAAAGAGTATGGTATAATTTATTCGTGTAAATTCGTAAAATCGGCCTATAAATATCTGATACCTATTGTTACATCACAAGAAGCATCCACGATAAACGAATATAAGAGATTTGTATTTCAAAATATTTTTGATCTATCAACGTTTTCTTAACGGTTATTTGTAACGAACACTAAACAATTCATTGTCCCTCCATAACATGTACTCCACTGGTGACTAAGCGTTTATCGCTTGTATCGAGGCGGAATCACGTGGTTAGGCGATGGAGAATAAGAGTAGACTGGAATAAAAATAAAATAAATAATTGGAATAAATAATTATGGAACTAATAGGTATATGTGCATATACGCATATACACGTGCACGACCATGTACCTGTACAATAATTTACATGCGTATACACATGTAAACGAATATATACACAAGAAAACACCAATAAAAGAGGTATAAAACACGAAACAACCGATTTTACATAACGGTCATATTGTCTTGGGTCTGGATTTGCCCCCTTTCACGGGAGTCATTTGTTTGTTTGTTTCTATAACTTAGAGACTAATGATCATATCTTTACCTAACAAAGTGCGTTTGAAAGAGGAATAAAAGTAGTTTCTACAGTAATGAAATGGTAAAGACCCATAAATGAAAATATATAAAAAATGATCTTCAAATATCCAACTTTTTGTTTGTTTGTTTTTCGATGTTTCCTTTTATTCGAGCTACGGTTGATTCCTTGTCCCAGAGTTTTTATCCGATTAAAATTTTGGAATTATCTTTGGAAACCTTGTGGAAATGCGTAGACATCTACGTCACGATTTTATTGAAATGTTGCTTAATTTTTTAATACGAATTTTTGAAAATCGAAAAAAAGACTAAAAATTATTTTTTTTTCTGAGGAAACTAAATTGAATTTCCAAAAAAAAAAAAAAAACGTGACGTAGTTGTCTTAGGAATTCATTGATGTTCATTCACATTTTTTCATAACACAATTCATAATCCTCTGGGACAAGAAACCTGCGCAGACACATGTGAAAAAAATGAAAAAAAAAAAAGTTTTTTGCGGGGGGGCACGTAGGAACCCCAACAAATTTAGTATCAAAAGATGCGGAATATGAAAATACATAAAATATCCGAAAATCAAGAAAATCCATAAGACCATTTATTTCTTAGAAACATATACCAATATGCCCCCCACCCCCACCCCCATAATTGGCCACGCCCCTTTTAGGGACGGTCCCCTTAACGTGTGATTATTAACATCTTTAATAATTTTAGCTCTCCTGACAATTCGTATTTTCAGCGTTTTTTTTTTTTTTTTCTATTTACTCTCTCATGTGGCCCCTGGAGACTCCTCCTTCTTCAAACGCCGACGGATAAAAATATCAAGAAATGATTTTTTGGGATAAGAATAAACAGGATAAAAAATGAATGTGTAGATTGATAGACCATATATATCACGCATCACATTTATTAGCAGCTCTGGCGATAGATTGTATCAGCTTCAGTTATAATAAGTATGGTGAGTATTAATGAAGATGATGATTTATAATTAGTATGATGAGTATTAAATGATGAAATTAGTGGTGAGTATCAATAAACATGATACTATCGGAACATCAGAAACGGTTACCACCCATGACATGAGTCGAAAACACAGTAAATATAAGCGTTTTATGAAGAGGGAAATATTATTCTAAATCAATACATTATTTGTTTATTTGTTGTTTTCCTCCCCAAGATAAAGGCTCTCACGCTCTGACAGTACATACGTATCTCCCTTAGATAAACGCTGAAGCTGCATCAAGGTCGTTTGTTATCAAGTATATGGCATATGTCAAGTGCCTTTATCCTTTCCCACGTGGTATGTTCGGCTCTTATTCGTGATGCAGAAACGAGTTGTAATATTAAAGAATGAAGCTTAATGTGGTAGTTTATTCGTAGATATTCCTAGGCAATTAAAGCGATTATCTACGTATGTGTGAACTCATTAATATGTCAGCTTGAGATCGTACTGAAAATGCGAAATTCGATGACGATGAATCTTTATTAATTCGGCTCTTAATATTTCTAAATATAGCGTCCGGTCATAGATCAGGAGAAATATTTAAATGTGATTCGACATTTGTCATATTTATCATTTTCTATCATTTGGTTTATCAGTGAATTATGTTTCGTGCTACTGTAGTCTATAGCTTAGCTATCCACCGATCGTGTGAGCAAGCATCACAAAAAACACAAAAACCGGATAGTTCTCTATATCGAGGTTCACTCTGCCTTTTTTTTTTTTTTTTTTTTACAACACAATGCCAATGTTTTCCTATTGTTGAGTTTTAGCATTAGGCAGTATGTTATCGTAAAAAAAAAAAAACATCTGCGATTATTTAAATGTGATTCGACATTTGTCATATTTATTACTTTATATCATTTGGTTTATCAGTGTCATGTTTCACATTCGTGCTATTGTAGTCAGTGAATTATGTTTCGTGTTACTGTAGTCTATAGCTTAGCTATCCACCGATCGTGTGAGAATGCATTCCAAAAAAACACAAAAACCGGATAGTTCACTATATCGAGGTTCACTCGGCCCCGCACCTTTTTTTTTTTCTACACAATATTTTCCTATTGTTGAATTATAGCGTTAGGCGGTATCTTTTCGTAACAAAAACATCGGCGGCAAGGTAGTTGGGAAGAGCAATTCACCAAATTTACATTAATACATAACAAAATAGCGGAATAATATCATAGAGATCACAGGTATTATATAACGGGGTTTTGTAATGTTTGCATGCATAGAATAATAACGTGCACTTAAAGATTACTCTCATACCTTTAGTGATGAAACAGACCACAACTTTAGAGCAAAAGTCACACTAATTGACAATATATATTTTACCTGCACCGTTGCTGTTGTAATATCGAAGGACTACTCACCCACACACCCACTGCCAGGACGATCAGGAAATACGAAACAATGACCAACACATCAGGCCATTGCAGCACCGTCGTTTCCTCCTCGTTATCCATCATTTTTCTTCCTCCCTGTTCGTGTCTTGCTTATTTCCTCTTCTTCCCTGTTCGTGTCTTGCTTATTTCCTCTTCTTCCCTGTTCGTGTCTTGCTTATTTCCTCTTCTTCCCTGTTCGTGTCTTGCTTATTTCCTCTTCACCCCTTTACGCTCTTTATGCAATCCCTGCGATGATCGACTCTGAACCGCTACGGAAGCAAAACCTATATCGATATATATGTCGATACAGATGTCGATACTGCAATTTTCATTCAGAAAGCCTGTTCCACACGACGATCCGAAGATTGTTTACTCGACCGCTTCCCCGCCAAGACCTGCCTGGCTGTACCGTGCTCCTCCTCTATATCCCTGGGGTGAGTAGGTGACCTCCAGCTGTACGACAACGTTTGATGATTGTTGCCAAGGTGTACCCTTTTTTCGCTGCTTTGCTTTGTGCGTTCGTGACGAACAGGCGGGCAGGCAGGGAGGAGGAGGAGAGGAGCTCAAGAAAAAAAATCGTGATGGGAATGATGATGTATACTGGTAATGATGATGATAATAACAATTATAATGATAATGATGATGATAACAATTATAATGATAAAGATAATAACAATTATAATGATAATGATCATTATAATGATGATAATAACAATTATAATGATAAAGATGATAATAACAATTATAATGATAATGATGATAATAACAATTATAATGATAATGATGATGATAATGATGATAATAACAATTATAATGATAATGATGATGATAATAACAATTATAATGATAATGATGATTATAATAGTGATAGTAATAATAATGACATGAATAATTTTTTTGACAATAATTATCATACTACTAATATTATTATTATTTTTATGATAACTATAGTAATGGTAATAACATTGATAATAATGATAACGATCATAATGAAAATGATGGTGATGATGATAAGGATGATAATAAAATTATTAATAACAAAAATAATGGTAATGATAAAAATAAAACAACGACAATAATAATAATAATTGCAATAAAATAACTAAGATGATTGATAATGATAATGATATTAACGATTATATAATAATGATAAAAGTAATGTTTACAAAAAGGAAAACCAGCGCTCTACCATTGACCTATGCCACCCACAATAGCAATAAAAGTAATTGCAATGATAATATCTGTTAATGATAATGGTAATGCATATTTCAAGCAAGAAAACAATGGAAGTTCTTTACTTTGAAAAAAAAAAAATCGCTATCATTCTTTCTCTCGTGTTTTGTTGTTCTGAAGACAATAAGAAGACTCCACGTATTTTTAATGTTTTACATCACTTTAAAACACGGCCAAAGGTATACGATCATCTTATGTATATATATAATAGAAGGAGATAATACCTAAAATTCTCATTTCTGAAACATGCACTCATAGGCCATTAAAATCCTCTATTTCTTGGACGCGTAACTGTTTAGATATTTATTCGAATTCATTATATGCTAGAGTCCCCTTTTTCTCTTCAGACAAACATAAAGATAATCATAATTCAGTATAACCATTCCGAAAGAGTAATTTATATAAGTGCCTATCAAAAAAGGAAAAGAAAAAAACACACGTTTATACTCATAAATACATTTATCCATACATATATACATTCAATTATTAAAATACATACATATATATATATATATATATATATATATATATATTATATATATATATATATATATGTGTGTGTGTGTGTGTGTGTGTGTGTGTGTGTGTGTGTGTGTGTGTGTTGTGTGTGTGTGTGTGTGTGTGTGTGTGTGTGTGTGTGTGCGTGCGTGCGTATGTATGTATGTATGCACACACAGACACACACACAAACATATGTATGTATATATGTGTGTGTGTACACTATATATACTGCATACTCTATCTTGCGGTTCAATATCCTAAAACCTTATTTTCACAAGTTATAAAGGACATATAAACAAGACATCCAACACATATCTCCTGTTATATAACTGGGATAGAAAGACAAAGAAGCTGAAGATGAAAGTTATCTATGCACTGTATTAAGATAACACACGAGTAGACAAACGGAGTGCCGCCAGCAAGATTTAAGCAGGTAATTACAACTGCATATATACAAAGTCTTATATACCACGCCAAAGATACTCAAGTGATACACATGATATGATATGCAGATATAACAGACAACGAGAGATTAATAATAAATACACAGATTAAAATTACACACATACACTTAGAAACACAGTGAGTGCCAGATTTTCATCGAATTGTATAAAGTTATGCAAGTAAATTCAATATGTTACATGCATTGAATGTATTCCGTATAAAAGAAATGGTAACTGCTGATGTAAAACGTAAATGACATTGTTCCTTTATAAAAAAAAAAAAATAAATGAAAAAAAATAAAGTAATAATAACAAATAAGTAAATAAACAAATAAAAATAATAACATAAAAAAATAATAAAATGAATAAAATAATAATGATTAATTAATTAATAATAATAAATAAATAAAATAATAATAAATGAATGAATAAAATGATAATAAAATAAATAAATAATAATAATAAATGAATAAATAAAATAATAATAATAAATAAATAGAAAATAAAATAATGAATAAATAAATAAAATATAATAATAAATAATAAATAAAATAATAATAATAAATAATAAATAAAATAATGATAATAAATAATAAATAAATAAATAATATAATAGATAAATAAATAAATAAATAAATAAAATAATATAATAATTAATAAAATAATCTAATAAATCTATAAATATAATAATAATAATAAAATAATAATAATAATAAATAGATAAATAAACTAATAATAATAAATAGATAAATAAACTAATATAAATAAATAAACAAAATAATAATAATAATAAATAAATAAACTGGGGAAAATATAGTGCATTTTAGAGAAAAAATACTTTAACATGAACTACTAAGGTCATTAGAATAGGAAGAGATGAAGTTTCTTAAAGAGCTTAATTAAATAAATAAGTAAGAACAACAAAAGTTATGTATCAATGGGATGTAGCGATAACAGGTTCGAGGCGCGAAAATTTAAAGATTACACATATATTCAAAAAGAGTTTTAAAAATATGTATGATT